TAAAATTTCAAAAATATTTCAGCCACTTTTGAGCTATTTATAGACATTCTAATTTTTCGAGTTTTCCACGTAATTTCTATTTGGTATATACTCTATGGATAAAACTTGGCTCCGAATCGTTTTTCGTCAGCAATATGGTTTATCGATGCTTATATGGATATAAGCTAAATAACTTTATCTAACCCATATCCCTACCTTACCAACTCCCCATCAACAACAGTGGTACAACCGTCCCTATAGTAGCTCTTTTTTTTACTTTGGTTATAATTTATTCATCATAATTATTAACCTATAATTACAAACGTCTGTGAAATGATACAATATTTTTGAATTCTTATATTACCCCAGCAGTTTCACCGTTGACCATTAAATTCCTGTTCAACATCATAGCAACATGAGTGATTCCAATCGATCTTGTTTCATAGTCACGTTTTCACATAAGTCAACTTAGAAAATGCTCTTTCGCGAGAAAAACTTGTCACGGGATAAATAGGACAAGTTTTAATATTGAATATAGTATTATATTAATATCTACAAATTCAGTCTTCGCTAATAATGTAAAATAATAACGATCGGCAAAAACTACTTATAATAATTATTATTTCAGACACCTGTTTTGAACATTAATTTTGTAGTTTTAAAAAACTGAAATTCAATTTACATGTATATTTCAACATTATTAGTTGTTATTTAGTTTTGTTTTCTCGGCACACCCCGTGTGCCTCCTATGATTGAAGACCACCCGTAGTTTAAAAAAACAATCCTTGATCGTTAATGAAGATTTTCTCAAGAAACATTTGGCTATACCCACGATGTTTTGAATTCGGATGGGTACCTCGTTTAAAACTTTTACGGTCTTTGTCTTTTATATACGTTTAGCTCGTAACCGGCGCACCTTTTGTATTTTATTTATCCGTAGTTAAAAAACTTAAAATCTGTAAAACATAGTCAGTGTATTTGTGAATTAGATTAATAATTGTAATTATTTTATGTGTTTTCAAACACAGTTTAAATTTAAAACAGTTCAAATTTTGACCAAAATAACTAATGAGGAAACAAAATCGTAAACTGTAAGTTTACATTACATAAACTAAAGTTATGATGACGTCAACTTCAGAAACTAGGATATGTAAGTAACAATATAATCATTATGTATATTATTACATAATGATTACAGAATGCTCATTGTGTGATCAAGGAAAAATCAAATATACCAATAACTGATGTTTTTGAAGATTTTGAAAAAATGTATGGATTTTTTTCTGTAAAACTAAAAAAAAATAGATGGCGAATTGATCCGTACGTAAAAACAAAGCTGTATGAGGATTTGAAAATGCAAAAAAAAAAAAAGATAAGAAAAAGAGTATTATAATATATTTTTTTTTATTTTACAATTATTGTTGTATTTGTATATTGTGTTTTATTTATAGGTAAGCATTCGTTTTTTCGGAGAAGTATAATAGTTTGTTTTGTGATACGCAAGAAAGAAAAAAAATCGTTTATGTTCAACAGCAATCATTATAACAATACGACTTTTTTTTTTAACCCTGACCAGTAAAAATCGCAAACGCGTTAAATAATGTATTATAACTGTCGTCAATTACCGCGAGGGCCGACGGCGCAATCCAGACGTAATCTATCTAATAACAGGCGAGAAAAATAAATGATTCAATAACGACATCGACGGGTATTCGTTGTTTACGTCTAATTATACGCCAAGTGGTAGGTAATTAAATGTTTTTCAATAAACGATTAACAGACAAATCTCAAAATAAACGAAAATAACAAAAATTACAACGCCAGGTAGGAGGTGGTACCTATATTACAATGCGGGGCTACCTGCTTGCGTCGAATCGCCTTGTCTTTAAAGACGTTATGTCCGTAGCGATTTCTACCACCCGAATCGGAAACCTTGGAAATCTTCGTCAACGGTATTACCGTCGGTTGTTCCGTTTCTGTTATACGTTGCGCCGTCAACATCAGCATTATATTGCGCATACGTACGCGGTTTAATAATCCGCGCAGCGTCCTCGGCTCTACGCGGATTATCAAACCGTTTTCGGCGGTACCCGCCGCGTATACCTGTACAATACGATTTCTATAACTCAACAAGGTCGACGAACACAGAGCGCTGATCACCTACCCGTACGGGCGGGCGGGCGGGCGGGTACCCGCGATGTAGCTCAAGTTCACGTCGCTTGTGTCAGGGTAAACGCTGTTGCTGTACGCCTCTGCCTGTGTAGCGGTCACACGAGCTTAACCGTGCCTACAATAATGAGTGCGATATAACCGAGAGTATCGAACACAAGAAAATACGCGTTTATTATTTGTATTTTTTTTTTTTCTGCCCAGAAACTTTGTTCCGGTTTTCACGTGTCACACGTTTCACGGAAGAACGTTTTAATGAGACGGCGGTCGGTTTTCGATTTTCCCAGGGGTTTTCATAAAAAAAAAAAAAAAGGGGGAAAACCGGAAAAATGTACGGAATACGAGGGCTAATCAAAAAGTATCAAGACTGGTAGTGTCGTTCGGAAAAGGAGCATCGAAGAGCGGTAGAATTGGTATCACTTGCTTCTATGACTTTTTCTGAGTACATTTGTTTTTATTGCTTCTCTATAAAATTCTTCGGTTTGATTTCACTGACATTTTTGTAAAATATATTTTTCGAGTTTGGCGATTTTGTAATAAACCCAAAAGAAGAGTGACTTGACAGATTTGGAGATTTTAAAAAAATGTTCTGCATTTTTTTCCAGTTTCAGTGGGATGCAACATTTCATGGTTTTTGCCATTAAATGTCAATTGAAAAACTGAAAATGTGCCCTCGAGTGGCAGCGAGTTCCGCTCCTTTTGGATTCATTACTAAATCGCCAAACGTGAAAAACAAATTTTAGAAAAATATCGTCAAATCAAAACGAAGAAGTTTATAGAGATTTTATACGAATGGGTGTGCTCAGTATAGGTCATAGAAGCTGGGTTTATAAATCGTTTTGCTCTTCAACGCTCGGTTTCCGAGTAATATTATCAGTCTCGATACTTTTTGATTAGCCCTCGTATATAATTTCAAATCGTAAATATTACGGCCTTTCAAAACATAAATAATTGAACCCCGCTCAGAATCGTTTTTCATTGGCAATGATTAATTATTACACATTATATTTTCCCTTGACTTCTCACCCACAACAATGGCCCGCCCATCGTGTGAAGCACGTCCGTTTTTATCTAAATCTACTCAAATGGACGGAACACGACCGCGTACGTTTGTCCTTTTTGACAACGCGATTCCGTATGTTTTTCGATTGATAAAAAAATAAAACTAAATCAACACGATTGCGTACGAATTCGTGTGCAACGTTGCCAAATGTATATTATACTATACACTCAATAATTATCCAGTACAATAGTTTTATCCGAACTGTAGAATGTTAAAACTAATAAAATAATTAATTAAACCGTAGGTAGTTAAAAAATTAATTATTTTAAAATACGAACATTTTATTTTCTGAACATCTATAACATCTGTGCTTTCAATTATTGCAATACGTTTGTACGGGTTTCATACTCGCCATAAGCCTTTGTAATATTTCGAATACGAATAAAATACTGCGTTGACATTTTCTTTATTTTCCCGTTATTTATAAACTGTATAATCGGTCTTGTCGATTAAAATTTAAACGCGATAAGTATTTTCCGTTTTCGGGTTTTATAAGTTTAATGGTATTTTCGATTGTTAAACTTCGATAAAAAAAAAAAAAATGTGCACGCCAGACGATCAACGACCAACTGAATAGCAGAAAATACCTATGCATTTGAAACACCGAAATCAGCAGCGCGTCAAAATGTATTTGACGTTGCGTTGGCATCGTGAACGGTAAACGTTTATGGAAAAACGAAAAGCATTTGTGCGTTCGTTCCGGTTCACTCGGGTTACCGAATGACCACATACCGGTATGAAATGAAAATTGGTTACAACGCTAAAAAATTCCGTACGCAATCGCGTAACCGAAAATCGGGTGACGCTGCGGTAGCCTAAAAGGATATCGCCGATAACGAACGCGCGCAATCGTGTTTTACCCATTCGGATGTATCGTAGGCAGGGTAGTTGTACAGCTACGGGTAACACGTAACAGCCTGGTATCTACCCGATTTGAAATTGTGATGTTGAAAAATTCCGATCCGAAACAGTTTTGATATTTAAACGGAGATGCGTTAACGGACGTTTTTTTTTTTTTTTTAATTCTCCGGGAGACGTTTTACACGAGATCTGTATTTAATATAATTTTTTTTATTATTATTATTATTATTATTACGAATGGTTGATAGATATTTGCTATTAATGTTATCACAACCCGCAGCCATTTGGATGGACGGTTTTGTGTTCTCACTGGACAGTGTCGGTCTGGCGGCCACCAGAGGCGCCTGAAAAATAGAAATGCCGCGATTAATCAATGCGGTATTGGGCCCCGCGTAGGTTTTATCGATCGGCCGTACTGCTGAAAATTAACGATGGACGTACGTAAATGTGCATACGCGTACACAGAGTTTCCCGCGACGATTTTTCGATCCGAGTGAGATTTCACGGACGGGGGGAGAAATTAAATCGCGGCGCAATCGATAAGTCCGTCGCGCCTCTTCGCTCCTCTTCCCGGACCGCAAAAAGCGCGCGGTTTTTCTGCATCCGGCAGTGCGTCGTTCGATTAGAGCCGCGCGTTTAAACATTGCACTATAGCGCCCATACGGGTGCACTGTTCGATGAGTACTGTGTGCGTTTTCATTTTATTTTCCCGTCGGAACTGCGCTGGGCGCCGAAACAAAACGGCGTTTTTCGATTGAAACCGTATTTCTGGTAGAAAACACCGCGCGCGATAATCAAAAAAACATCGCCGGGCCGGGAACGCCGAGGCGCGCCGTCGTTCGATTAGACCAGTCGGACGTTTCGCGTTACGCTGCCGCGGACACGTCATTCCGTATATTTCGAATATTTCGAATATCCGCGTGTTAAACCCGGGTCCACGATACAAACAACGGCGTACGCCCAGAGAGGGTCGTTTTGAATTTCGATTAATTTATTACGTTATCAATTTCGAATCTTATCAAAAGAAATTATCAACTTTTCAACAATGATAAGCGACACGGATTTCAAAACGTTAGTGTCTGTGAAAAAAAAATAATTCCGCCGTACTCGTTGTTGGTTCCTACCGAACTAGTTGATGTGAATCTGTTTTATTAGTTAAACAAACCCGCGTTAATTACTTTTTTTTTTTTTTTCACGCTAAACAAACAATTAAATACATTACAAACAAATTATAACGCGTGTACTTATCAAATGTTTTATTTCAATAATGGAATTATTTTCAAATGTTTCTATTTAAATATTTAGGTACTTTATACATTTTACACGTTATTTCTTTTATTTGTGAATCACTAATTGTAAGTGTTTATCTATAGACGAAATACTGACGCACAATTAACATGGTAAGAGATCATGTGTCATTGAATTTTGACACAGTATCATTGGCCGGCCCAACGCAAAAGTACAGCTTTAAAAATTCATTTCGAAGGGTTAGATATTGTTTAAAGATAATTATAATCATTATTAATTTATGTGTTCTAATATATTAGACTTTTAACACATTTGTTATTTTATTAATTTTTTTTGTTTTCTCGCAGAATTGGAGACAATTGTCCAAGTTACAAAGGTTAATTTGTTTTTCGCTCGTCAGTGCGATAATAATTGCAATACTTCTGTGGCTTATTAGATACACCAGACATTTAAAACAAGGATTATTAGAGGCCAATTCACTAAAGTTACAAAAGCCAACTATTTTGTTTCAAGACAGTGTATGTTGAATATTGGCACTGTAAATGACACGATCTCAGCATTTATCTATTTTTTATTTTAGGTATTGAATTTACCAGATGGCGTGGAAGCTATAAAATTAAACGATTTTGATAACGAAGCGCCGTCAGATCAAAAAGAACAGATTGCCGCGCCGGCAGTTAACATTCATGCAGATCCGCAGTCCAGTGTCGGCGTTCAGTTTGAGCCAGCATCAGGTCATCGACAAGTTGCAGTTCTAAATGCATTCAAACATGCGTGGAACGGATATAAAAAATATGCCTGGGGACATGATCATGTCAAACCCATATCTAGAAAGCACCAAGACTGGTTTAATTTAGGATTGACTATCGTGGATTCTTTAGACACACTATGGATAATGAATTTGAAAAAAGGTATTTAATAATGAACATACAGTATATATTGACCACGTAAAACTGTTTGAGTTACATGATTTTACCAAAAAACAAAAACTGTGTTCTAACATGCTTATCTTTTAAATATACCTAATTTGGTTATCAAAATAAATAACTTCAGAACTTGACGCAAGTCAAGATATATAGTGAACTATTTTATAATTTTGTTGTATGTGTTCGGTTTAAATGTTTAGTTAACAAAGTTTTGATTTTTTAAGAAAAGTTACAATAATGTTAATACCACATTTTAACATTATTTAGCAGTTAATTGTTGTTCAATTTCATTGAAAACGTACATTTCTTAGACCATTTGTGACATCAGGATATAATTGAAATTATTTGAACTTATTTATGATCAAATTTACAACCATTTTACATTTGACATATTTAAAAATTTAATGAAACATCTTCTACTCTTCAGATAAAATTTTAAATAATGTTATTTTTGATATTTTCTTCTTAGCTCTTTAAAATAAGCGATACACCCATTTGCTATATCGTTCCACCACATATACCAAAAAACTAATAAACTATTCAATTTCACCATTTTGTTCAGAATAATAATCTATTAAGATATTAGTCTAGTCTATCAAGTTAAAGAGTCCAAACTTTATATTAAATTTGTAATATTTTGAAAGATACCTATGTGTTAAAAGTAATAATTGAAATACTCATTATTATATTGTGAATACTGGTAAAAAAAATAAAGATAATGCCATATCTTATCTACGAATTGCTCAACTCATTCCATAAATTATTTTAATTATTATTATTATTATTTTTTTTTTTTTTAAATAATTACCTTTCAAAATAAATTACATAGGTAAACATAATTTATGATTTATCTATTTCATTATCTTTTACCATAGCTTTTATTGAAGATAGAGAGTTAAACAACTAAGCAAATAATATAATATACAAAGCAACTGAAATAAATTAACAAAGTTAATCTTATTACTTATCAAATAATATCTTAGACAAATATTTAATTAAACAATAATACATTTTAACATATTTTTCAAATTTTTGTCTAATATTTATGTACAACCAATTATGTACAACTTTTTTGGATTACTTACATATATACATTTTAGACAAATTCAATATTTAGACTTAGACAGTCCATACATTTTTGATTTCACAATATAATCTCACAGGCAACTGTGACATTAATGCCCTGTCCATTCAAGTTTACCATATTAATTGTTTATTTTTTTTTAATAAATAGCATATTGTAGTAAAACTGCTACATTTCTCCTTTCATTTTGTTTTATTTATAAGTTCATAATAGACAAAAATGACATCCACGTCGTATGTAAATAGGCAGTCATGTTCTAAAATTAATAAGTAATTTAAGTTGATACCTAATTTTTCTGCTTATAGAATTTGATGAAGCTCGTGAATGGGTCAGTACAAGCTTTAACCTTGATCATTATAAAGATGTCAATCTTTTTGAAACTACTATTAGAGTGTTGGGTGGATTTCTGAGTGCTTACCATCTATCAGAAGATTCATTATTTCTTGATAAAGCCGTAAGTATTAAAAATTAGATTGGTTTGTGTTGGCAACATAGTGGATTTTTTTTCCATTATGTAATTAGCTATCTATCCTTTTATTACATTTTAAAATCTTTTTAAATATTAAATAATTACTTCTAAAATTGAGTGTAAACAGAATTAGTCGATTTTTAATGCAAGTATTATGATATTCATTTAATTTTTCAAACTGATGAATCATTTCATAGGAAAATAAAATTCCACAAATGTGAATCATATGTTTATGATAATATTTTTAATTATTTAATTTGTTGTAGTTAGATGTTGGTTCTCGACTAATGCCATGTTTTACAAAGTCCTTGTCGCCAATACCTTATTCTGATGTAAATCTCGTTTCGCAAATGGCTCATTCACCCAAATGGAGTCCGGATTCAAGCACAGCTGAGGTATCTACTATACAATTAGAATTCAGAGATTTATCGCGATCAACTGATCTAAAGAATTATGAAGTAAGGAAATAATTCAAAACAAAACTGTTGTTATACAAATCTAAACTTGGTATTGGTAATTTAATTTTAGAAAGTTGCATTCAGAGTATCAGAACATATTCATACACTGGACAAATTTCATGGACTCGTGCCTATTTACATTAATCCAAACACTGGCAAATTCCATCGGGGGTCTGAAATTAAAATTGGTGCTAGGGGTGATAGTTATTATGAATACCTTTTAAAACAATGGATCCAAACTGGAAAAACAATTGATTTGTAATAATTGTTAGGAAATATTATTAATTTCAATAATTAAACTAACATATTTTTTTTATAGTTTGAAAGATGACTATTTGGAAGCTATTGATGGTATAATATCACAATTAGTGCGCACGTCTCCTCAAAGAAATTTAACTTATATAGGAGAATTGAAGGCAGGATCACATAGCTTTCATCCCAAAATGGATCATTTGGTATGCTATTTACCGGGAACATTAGCACTCGGTGTTCATTACGGTATGCCCTCTAGTCATATGAGATTAGCTGAAAAATTAATGGAAACATGTTATCGCATGTATGCTGATCAACCAACATTTTTATCACCAGAAATTGTATATTTTGGCACGAAAGTAAGATTGAATTCAAATTGTAGTTACTATTTTTTATTCTTATCTTCTAAATTTGTTTAATTTTACAGGTTGAAGTTAATCAAGATATGTATGTTAATAGCAATGATGCACACAGTTTACTGAGGCCTGAATTTGTTGAAAGCCTTTGGTACATGTACCAAATATCAGGAAATACTACATACCAAGATTGGGGTTGGTTGATATTTCAAGCATTTGAACGGCACACAAAAGTTGCTGGTGGTTTTACATCTATTGGAAATGTATTAGATCCAGACGATATACGTCCTCAGGACATGACTGAGTCGTTCTTTTTCGCAGAAACTCTAAAATACCTCTATTTGTTAATGTCTAATGAAAGACATATGCTGTCTATAGATAAGTATGTGGTGAATAGCGAAGGACATCCTTTACCTATTAGAAATCGGTGATCTCTAATGTACCTTGTACTTCTTTATAGTATTGTTGAAAAAATGTATTCTAATTTAGGACATTTATTTATCTTAATTGGCTGTGAATTTTTGTTTTTATCGGTTTCGTATACTCGCCCAATTATCACACAAGATTTAAAGTAAAAAGTATTAAATAAATAAAAAAAACTAAGAAACTATAGATTTAAAAATGTGACCTAACTAAACTGCTATTAAATATTAATTAGTACAAGTCAATATTATCAAGTTCATTTCTTAAAATATTGAATGCAATTAATTTGTGATCAAATTATCTATACATTTGTTTTGAAATGATTTACTGATAATAATTTACTGATCTTGACAATTTGTAAAAGATTATTATAAATAACTATTAAGTAATAATATTGTCCATAAGTATTGTATACCTATTAAATTAAACACGTGGCAAAAAATGTATTATCATTCATGGGTTCCATCCAAAACCTTGTTAATATAAACTAAATTTTTGTCCCCGGAACAAGGCTTTTTTTAAAATAATTTATACACAATACCAACATTAGTATAAAAATTCAATCAAACCCACTGGTTTTTATAAAACATAATTTTGCCATCAATGAGTACTCTTATTGATATTAACCTTAAAAGAATTTTTCGATTTTGCCATTTACCATTTTGCTTTTTTTTTTTTTTAATTATTGAAATTTTCACCTAGACAATTATCAAGTTAATTTCCTATAATATTGAATTCATTTTATATGTGATCAAATTATCTGTAAATTCAGATTGTTTGAAATGTTTGTTTAGATAATAATTTTGAGACTAAATATTGTGAATGAACTTAGTTTTAATTAAATATTAGTTGTGAATCGAGTATTATTTTAAAAATTTATTTAAACAGTATTACAAAAAATTATACGATGTATACAATAACTTTAATCTTAATATTTCGACTTTATTTTCAAATAATTGTGTTATTCTTATTAAATGTACAAAACTTAAATTTTGGTAGTTTCAATAGGAAATCTGAGAAAAATACATTATAAATATCTGTTAATAATCAAAAAACACAAAATTATTTGAGTGATTAATTTATAAAAACTAAAAATTAAATAAATAAAGTAAAGCGTTTAATTTTTAAACAACAATCTATAATTATTCCAATTATAATATTGATAAAATTCGATAACTATATTATGCTTATATGTAGAAACCAAATACATTAAATATCTTATACATAGTAAATAATTAACAGCATTTGTATTTAAAATTCACAAAGTACTTATATTTTGCCACTTTGATACTTATTTTTCAATGATGGATAGTGTGAATTTATATTTAAATTAATGACAATGTATAATAATGTTACAGATTCATATATAATTTAAATAATAATAATATTAATCACAATGTCACAAAAAATGTACATCTCTTTGTCAACCAAATCAACAACCACGACTATGATATAAAGTGTTCTGAATATAAGTTTAATAGAAACATAAAAACAGTATTATAATAGTAAATGAAACACAACCAATAATACTCCGTGTTAAGTTTTATCTAACATATTTATTATTAAAAAATACTGATACTGACAAATATATTTCTTTTGTTTTGTATATTTTATATTAAACTGAAGAAAAGCTAATTTATTTATCAGTTGCTCTTTCATTATTACACAAAGTGTATAATAAATGTTAAATTTTAAATTTAGAGTAGATTTTTACCAATCAATGCACAATTTATCTTTAATTATAACTTTAATATATTTATTATGTATTCAGTATTAAATTTTATTTTATTATTTAACAATTATGTAATTATGCACTGTTATTTTTTTATAGCAAAATACGAAAGAAAACAAATCTGTTAAGTAATAATTTAATACATTTATGGTTTGTACATTGTCATTACAAATCCAAATCAATATTAATGTTTTTTTTTTCTTCTATCAAACAAAATATGTTTCAAATAAAATGTTAAAAGTATCCATGAAGTCTTGTTTTGTCATTTTTTGAGTATTACTCGAATACTCAAAAAAGTATTCGTAACTAATTCCTTTATTAATTACCTATGTCTCTTTAGTTATGAAATCATATTTGAAAATAAAATCCTGTGGTGGTACGTGGGTCGCCAAAGATAGATGCAATCGCTGATATGTCGAGGAGAACGTTTAATAAAGAACTGTTGAAGAAGACCAAGGAAATACCTCCAATCAAAAACCACATAAGAGGTAACAATAACAATAATAACTGTTATTTTATTAATAATCATCATTATTATAACAAAACAAAATAATTAAGACAAAATATCAACATTATAATAATTTAAAGAACCATCGTATTTATTTTCATGGATTCAAAGCATACATAATTTTTTTTTTTTTTGGCTACTTAATTTTTTTCTAGGGAGCGCATATCTCCCTCTTGCCCCTCCCCCCAACGGTCGCCCATGCCTACCTACGTTACAAAACGTTTACTAAATTAAACTGACTTATCATTAACACATTAATATCATTGAATTTTGTATACTATAATAATAATATTATTGATGGTTTTCACGATTAAGACAGGGTGAGATTTAATTCTCCTCCAGAAAGAGGCATTTGCACCATGAACATAATATTATGTACCCGTAACGACAAGAAAATCATCCTAACGTCTAAATAATCCATTCCCGACAGTAAAAGATTAATGGGTATTAAATATATAAATAAATAAATAAACGAATGCGTCGCCTGGAGGAGTATTATGACAATTGTATTACACGACCGGTTACGAATTAAAAATTCATCGACAGGCACATCACAGTCAATGTGTGAAACGCGACTGAATGTAAAAAATTACACGAAGAAATACGTAGAAAACAAACAATTTTTACCAATTGGTCGTTTAACATGAAAATAATTTATTTTAGTAGGAGAGATTATTTGAAATGGTTTATTATTAGACATAGGTATTAGGTAGGTATAAGTATTTCTTAAATATAAATTATTTGGTTATTGTTTGTCATCAAAAATTTATTGATATAAGATATTATTTTTAAAATCGGTTTGTACATGTAAAATATAAGTGTTATTTTCTTTATTTCATTGTGTATGTGTAATTCTTCTAAAACTGAATTAATGTAAATCATATTTTGAATATTTAATATTTCTAAGTCTGTAATATTAATATCAAAACTTATATTATGGTTGTATTCGAAAACATGTTTAGCGAAATTTAAATTAAGCGCAGTCTTTTTTAATTTTATTTCAGAAGTGTGTTGTTCTTTATATCTTGTTTTAAAATTTCTATTTGCCTTATCTGTATAAAATTTATTACAGTTACATTTATATTTTTTACGTACCAGCATTTTCAAAATGAGGGGTATTCTTTGTAAAGTTTTTTAGTTCTATTGTTTGATTAAATTATTATTAGACTTAAAAGCGATTTTTACATTAGTTGTATTATTGTTCAGAATTTTAGCCAATTTGTTGGACGTATTATTTTGATTTCATACTACAACAGTTAACAAAATTATTGGGTGAGTTGTGTTTTATTTTTTCTTTAATACGTTTATGAATTTTTTTTTAATAATATTTAAATTGAAATTATTTCTGTGGGCTATTATATAGATAATATTGAGCTCGTGCTGATAATTATGTTTATTTAATGGAATACGTTCAAGCCTATAGAATATTGAGTTAAAAAATAATATTTTTTGAGAATAAGGGTGATTAGAATCATTTGGTGTTATAGCACCAGTTTGTGTAGGTTTTTTGTAAATACTAAAATCAAATTTATTGTTTATTATGGAAACTGTAAGATCTAAGAAATTTAATTTATTATTCATTTGTATTTCGAGTGTAAATTGAATGTATTTATTTCGTTTAAAGCAGGTAATTAAATTGTCTGCTTGTCTATTGGAACCTCAAAATAAAACGAAAGTGTCATCAACACATCTATTAAACGTTTTTACACATGGACTGTAGATTTCGTTGTTAATAATTTTGTTGGTTTCATAATTTTCCATGCAAATTTCAATTTATAAGGGAACTATGAACGACTGAAAAACGTATTTCACGTCAAATAAAAATATTCACAACATTATTATAATACTCTGAACGACCACCAGGCGTGTATTTACGGGGGGGGGGAGGTGGTCAAGTTGCTCAGAGTGGCAGATCTTTTAGTCCATTTAAGGGGTGCAAATTTATATTGATAAATTATTATTGTGCGCCATATCTGAAGAAAAAATAATATGTTTACACAATTCTAATTATTCTATTGAAAACAATTATTACAGCTCAAAAATTTACATTTTTTTCATCAATTTGTCGGATAGTAATACTAAAAATATTATAAATTATATTGTTAACATAATATTTATAAATAATGACATTATTCTCAAACCCTACGTACATACGGTTGGTCGGCCGTATTTTCCGAATCGCAGCAGTTCAACGCCTTCAAGTACGATATCGATTTTGACTGTGTGTTCAATCGTATACGCATGACACGTAATTCGGGAAACGTTTTTGTTTCCCGAAAAATTTCGGGCAAATCGCCTTTTCGGTCCCCTTTAAATACGGGAGGTAACGCGTGGTCTTCTTGAAAACACCGTAACAATATAATAATGTAATGTTTACTTAATAATAAGACCTGGGTACTCGTATGAAAAAAAAAATATATATGTATAATAATAATAATAACAACAACAATAAATTAAACATAATATTAACGACAAGGAAAATAATAAAAACATATTAAAATCTCATGTTGAAACTATGGATCGCGCATATTTATTGTTAATCTTCTTTTTTACAGTTACGCGACAGTGTGTTTTAATTATTATTCGCGTACGCGCTATTGTTTGCAAAATATTTTATTGTTCGTATCTAAACACGTACGCGCGCGCGTATGTACCCGTAATGTATGTAATTAAAATAATAATAAAAACAAAGCTGTTGTACCTTGTGCTGCTCACGGATAGGCCACCGTTGTAGGTGGGTAGTTCGGAGGGTAATTAAGTTTATAATCTGTACGCGACGATAAATTGTTACCAACGAAAAAAAAAACGATTCAGAGTGTATTAGTATTAGTAATTAATTCAAAGCCGGGCAAGTCAGTAATTTTTTTCCGTGTAGTTAAAATTAAGTTAGTTTCATATGAAACTCAGTTTGAATATAAATTGGTTTTTAAAATTTTTCAAATTTCTAACTTAGTTAGAAGTTAGTTAGGTGAACATAGTGACTTAAGTTAGAGTAGAAGTTGGAATTTTTTTGTTTTTTAGTTTAAAATATAAATTTAAAAACCAGTTCAAATGTAAAGTTTTATGTAAATTAATTATTAAGTAGGTAACTAACTTAAATTATTGGTGACGATTGAAAAATTAAATTGAACTGACCAAGTGTTTCAAGTAGGTAGGTAATAACTTAAATTTCTTGGAAATGAATTGGGATATTAGTTATCAGAACATAGAAAGTTTAATAGAATAAGAAATATACAAACAGTATAACACTATATTTGTCTACGACTTATACTAATTAGTAGCCTGTAGCTAAGTCAAACCAAAAATCAGCAAAAATAATACCGGAATAGTTAGGAATCTAGATTTTTTTTTTGTTCAAATGGACTACTGGGTGGTATCTTTTGATAAATCCGTGTCTTTTATGGTATAATGCGAATAATTTGAATTGTTTTTACTGACCGCAAAACGTTTTCCGAAAAAACAAATCGAAATCCGAGCCAAACACGGATTTATAGAGTGACTGTTGAAAATATATTTTATAATTAAAAAAAACAAAAAAAAAAAATAAAATTTCAAATAAAGTACCATCAGACGAAAAATTCACGTTCAACGAGTAAAAATCAGAATACTTTTACTAATCAGAAAAGTGTTTTCCGAGAAAACAAATGAAACATACACGTACGTATCAGTAAAACTGATGGCTTCTTCGCAACATCCAGAATATAATGTTATAATAATAAATACCAATACGCTACGTAACAATTTCGGTCAACGTTAAAAAATTGCTTTGCGAAAAGAAAAAAAAAACCAGAAAAAGACAAATTCGCTGGCCAATAATTCACGTGGTTTATGTGTACGGCTTAAATACGCGCGTTTTTGACAAAATGTTTTTCCGTCAAAATATACCCGCCGTTTCCGCGATACATAAGGAAAGATCCAGTGTAAAATTGATTTGGTAAGGAAAAGGGTGGCGAATCCATTTTTGGCTTGTGACCTATTCGTACTCCACCGGTCCAAATTTTAAAATGTTTTCTAATTCACAAAGCGCATATATTCAAGTGCATCCGAAGTATTAGTGCTGTGATTTATTAATTACAATCGAGAGGATTTCGGGTGTCTCCGCGACCGGTATAAGGAGTTCGGCGTAGCGGCAACTTCTTATACGGGTATACTTGCGAGTTAGGTTGTAGAATTAGAAATTGTATGGCGCGTCGCGTCTCGCGTTGTTCGCGTAATTCTATTGTTGGCAACCCGAACTTTTTAACGCCCGTCACATGTTATTACAAAAATTTCATAAATACGTTGACGTGGGCCGAATTAACCGAATTGACCGTAATATCGATGATACGATTCGAGTGCGAAAACATAAATTATAAGATCGTAAAACGTACAAACGTTATTAAATAATAATAAAATATATTTTGGGCAAAAACTGACAACTAGTATAGCCTATGCATTTTGATCGAAATTATGTTTAAACAATTATTAAGATTTTCTGCACTTCTGATTTGAACTCAGAATTATACAATTAAAAAGACGGACATACTTCGCGCGTGGGTGCAGGAACGGAAGTTGGGAAGGTAGGATACAGATGGGAATTTAACGTACATCTGGTAAGAAACGATAAACCATTGTTAACGAAAACACGATTCTGAACGGAGTGTTGCTTGGTCAACAATATTTATGCCATATTATGCTAAAGTAATAATATGTGCATATTAAGCATTTACTTTAATAATATTTGTTTAATATTGTACCCAGT